GGTATCGTCACAGCCCCGGCTTGCCAGGACCGATCCCCTGCCGTAAAGGGGGAGATTGAGCCATCAGCGACCCCCCCCACCCTGCGACACCCCAACAACTCCCCACCACCACCACCTTAAGGTCACAGCAAAGGGTTAAGGGCCAGGGCGGGTGCATCCGTCCTCACCCCTGCTGCCTGGGACCTGATGGCCTGAGAACTGAGAAGAGCACGCGAAGCTCTTCTCTTTCCTCTACCGAAAAAGTGCCTGAGGACCTACCTAGGGCCTCACCGTTGGGCAGGGGCGCAGCGCCATCAGCCTCCGGGGCACAAGCCTGGTATTTTGGCTTGGTGGTCTCCAGCCCAGCCAGCAGCGTCATGAAGTCGACGACAGTATCGATGTCCTGCTTGTTAGAGGTGGCTTCCCGCAGGGCGCTCACGGCATTGAGGCGGCTGAAGGACGTCACCTCAGAGATGTTGGCCCGCAGGAAGAGCAGGATGACGTTGAGGTCGTTGATGGGGCAGGTGAGCATCTTGCGGCTGAGGAGGTCAAAGGCGGGCAGCATCTCATAGACAGAGAGCAGCCCCTTGTCCCACTGGCAGAGCTGCAGGGCATTGTAGATGACAACAGGCGCAAGGAGGACATAGACGCTGCCGACGGAGAAGCTGATGAGCTGGAAGACCGAGAAGAAGACCAGCTTGCAGGGGATGAGCGGGGGCACGTGGGGCTCGGCCTGGAGCAGCCCTGTTCTGATGGAGCAGCTGAACTCATCCTGGAAGAAGATGTTGAGGTGAAGAAAGACCAGGTAGAGGCACGTGGCGGCCAAGAACAAGAGCAGCAGCAGGTTCCTCAGGAGGTAGATGAACACCAGGGAGTGGGAGCGCTGCTTGCAGGTGAGGTAGCGCTCCAGCAGCGGGAACTCGAAGTATCTCTCCTCACGGGCCCTGGGGGGAGAGGGGAGACAGCAAGGTGTTAGAGCCACCCCCATCACTGAGGGAAACTGAGTCACTTCACTGAAGGTCCCAGGCGAGGGCATAACCCCAGCACAACGCAGAGAGGCTGAAGAACAACGCGGTGACCAGTTGGAAAGCGCCCGTTGCCCAGGGGCCTCGCTGGGCCCTCGTGCCACAGCCTCACCTCTCGTACTCCTCCCAGAAGCGCTCCGGCTCGGCGCTGGCCTGCTGGACCTTCCTCATGTGCTGCACCAGGCGCACAGAGCGGTTGTAGGACTTGTCCAGCTCGTCGATGATGAAGAGGAGGTCAGAGTGGAGCGCGGGGGTGGCCGCGTAGCGCCACAGCAGGTAGGGCAGGTACATGAGCACGGCGACGACCAGCAGCGAGTACGGGAAGATCTGAGCAAAGGAGACAGCGGCCAATAAAGCATCCCCCAGGGTTGGCGTTTAGGGGTGCTGAGTGGCTGCCAACACATGCACGCGTTGAGCTGAACCCGTGCTGTCCCCACCTGCATCATTCCCAGCAGGGGAAACCGAGGCACAGATTCTGTGTCACATCCCCCCCTTCACTTCTGCTGGGCACCCAGCAGGATGTGTCCTCGTCAACGCCGTGGAGGGACCTGACAGCGCCCAGACATGAGCTCCTAGCCCACCCCAGACCCCCCTACCTTGAGAGCCCAGAGGGACTTGGTGACAGCGTGGCCCTCGGCGTCAAAGCTGTGATGGACGAGTGATTCCCAGCAGGCTGTGTCAACGTAGGCGGACTGCTTCCCCGTGAAGTTGGCAGGGGAGAAGCAGCTGATCTGTGAGCCTAGGACGAAGAGCGGGGTCAGAGCCTGATGAGACAAGGCTCCCGCATGCAGGTACCACGGCCCAGGGCCGCCCTGGGTGGGAGGCAATTACAGCCACAAACCTCAGCCTCAGAGGTCCAGCAAACACAAGCGTCACCCAAGGAAAGCATGTATACATATATTTATGTATGTATGTATGTATGTATGTATATAAGGGACCACTTGGAAATGGGAAAAAGCCCGTTTCGCAGTCATCTTGCAGCTGCCCTTCTCCATCACTGGATTCTGTGGCTCTTGGAGGGGCACTGCTACACGGCAAGGACTTTTCCATCACTTCCCTAACACATGCACCTTTTTTAGCATGACCATGGCAAGGGAATTAAATAGAGACAGGCCAGAAACCAGAGTCAAACCAAACCCCCAGAGGCAGCAGCAGAACTTCAGCCACGTCCAGATTTAGCTTGAGGTCAAGACGCATCCGATGATTGTGTTATCAAAGAAACCCTATGTCCTGCAATCGCAGGCTCGCTCCCATCAACCGGGGGAAAAACCAATCAATGTGAGCACTGTGAGCACGCTCTCCGGGCCAGCCTGGCTCCCCCAGGGGATGCAGGGACAGCGTAAACCCCAGAGAACACCCACAGATGCACGAGGCAGAGCAAGAAATCATCCGCGACTCAAAATAAACACCAGCGCCAGCGACCACATCAGCACACGAAAGCCAGCAGCTTCGCCCTCCCCAAGCAGCCTTGCCTCTGGGCAAATCCTCCTGGGAGATCCCACCTGAACATCACCGTCCTGCTCCGAAACCACCCGCATCCCTGCAGCCCATGGCACTGCTATTCCTATTCCTGGACTGTACTGGTTCCCAGGAATTAATTAATAACTGCTCATCAGCAATCAGTTACAGACAGAACGCTTCCTAAAATGGGGATTTCCAGACATCCATGACTGCCTTATGTTGGACCGTGGTGCAAAGGTAAGGGTTTTGCAGTGATAACTGCCCCTTTGGATGCATCAAACTGCCCCCAGTGATCAGAGAGCAGTCAAGACTCAAAATCCAAACCCGGATCCCCTTCCAGCCCCTCCCGGCCTCTCCACAGCACCACGGAGCTGCACAAAACCCACGACCTACAGACGGAGCCATCAGGGCCTGGCCCTTGCCCCCCCAGCCCAGCCCGGCGGTGACTCACCCGCAGAGAACTCGCG